CTGGACTCCTGGGTCTGAGGGAGGAGGGGCTGGGCCTGGACTCCTGGGTCTGAGGGAGGAGGGGCTGGGGGCCCGGACACTTGGGTCTTATGGGAGGGTAGACCCAGTCATAATCCTGCAGTGCTCCCCCAGCCAGGTACCCCGCCTCTCTGCAATGCGTGAACATCAGCATCTCACCGGATGAGGTGTGCCAGAAGGCCTATTCTAAGGCCATCGCGCCTGGCATGGTCTGCGCAGGAGCTCCCCAGGGCGGGAAGGACTCTTGTCAGGTAAGGCTCAGGATGGGAGCTGGGGGAGGGATTATGTGGGACTGGGATTTAGGCAGACGATGTCAGGAGCGTGGAATTCTGCAGAGGTCTTCAAAAGAGAGTGAGCCGCAGGGACGGAGAGATTCCGATAGCCAGGCTACCCTGCTTCCTAACCCTGTGCCCCCTGGGTAATGGACTCAAAGCATTCATGCCTCAGTTTCCTCGTCTGTCAGTTGGGGATAAGCCTCTTAGGGTAGTTGGTGGAGTAGGATGAGGCAGGTTGGGGAAAGATCGCAGAGTGGCATCTGCTCATATGGGTCTGGGAAAGGCTGTGCTGAGGCTTCTAGAAATCTGAATGCATGCTTGAGAGAGGCAGAGACGGGGAAATAGAAAAAGAGAGACACACAAGCGTTCTACAGATGGAGCGAACAGAGAGGGGCCCGGTGAGACTCAAGGGACAGGCAGGTGCACACAGAGACAGAGCCAGACCCAGTGGAGGGGGAAGGAAGTGCCCTGACCTCTGGGACTGAGACCTCAGAGCTGGGGCAGGACTGTGTCCCTAACTGTCCACCCCAGAGTCTCTTCCTGTCTCCCTGACTATCTCTGCTTCTTGGGTTCTCTGTGCCGTGGCTCTAGCCACCTGTCCATCGGTGTCTCTATCTCTGTTCCTCCCCCTCAGGGTGACTCTGGGGGACCCCTGGTGTGCAGAGGACAGCTCCAGGGCCTTGTGTCTTGGGGAATGGAGCGCTGCGCCCTGCCTGGCTACCCTGGTGTCTACACCAACCTGTGCAAGTACCGAAGCTGGATTGAGGAAACGATGCGGCACAAATGATGGCCTTCACGGTGGGATGGACTTCGTCAGCTGCCCAGGCCCTCGTCTCTCCACTCAGGCCCCAGCCCCTCCTCCCTCAGACCCAGGAGTCCAGGCCCCAGCCCCTGCTCCCTCAGACCCACGAGTCCTGACCCCAGCCCCTCCTCCCTCAGACCCAGTAGTCCAGGCCCCTCCTCCTCCCTTAGACCCAGAAGCCCAGGCCCCAGCCCCTCCTCCCTCAGACCCGGGAGCCCAGGCCCAGCCCCTCCTCCCTCAGACCCAGGAG